GGAGTTTTTTCCCCGCCGCGTGCCTCCTCCTCCTCCTCCTCCTACTACTACTACTACTACTACTCCTACTCCTACTACTACTACTACTGCTGCTCCTCTGGGCGGGTGGCCTGCCGGCGCACACATATCCAGGTACATAAGTATGCATTTCACGCGCACGCTGCCCGTAGGATCAGTAATCTTGCATCTCTTGTGTATTTGCAGAAACATGTACGTACCACAGTCCCATGAGTACTGGCAGGAATACAGGTGCCCTTTACACATCCCCAATATGCTATGATCCTTACTGTAGTAGCAACCGAAAGGAGCATCCCGAATTCCTGGAAACAAAGGTTTCTAGCCGTGCCTTGGACGGCCTGAGGAGTCTGAAGAGCAGCGGGCGCAAACCTCCAAGTTTGGACCACCGCCATCTACGGCTTGGCACTTAGGATCAAGTGAGTAGTGTTTTGTTTGGCGGTTAAACCCAGTAAGTTCATATTCCTTATATAAAATACTATACCCCAAAAGTATGCCCAAATAAAATAATACTCAAATGTTTTTTCCTTGTATGGGACCTTTTTCCTGCTCAGATCCTTAGGCAGGATCAAGGGTTTAGGGTTTCGGGTTGAGGGCTTGGGGTCTAGCGCCGAGCTTTGCGGGAGGCCCAGGTGTTTCCTCGAAGGGGACTTTCAACTTTTCTTTCCATAAGATTGAGACCCATGCAGGATGATTCTTACACCCTATTCTCAACCCTTTCAGATAGCTGCCCAACTTGAACCACTACAGAAGGGGGCCCCCTTCAACAGCACTGAAGACCCCCTAAGTTCTCTCAAATGCACCATGGCTGGACACTTGTAACCCTACTTCCTCTACTTGGTTTAGGGTTTCGGGTTTAGGGTTTAGGGTTGGTATATAGGGGGTCCATCATGGTCCATCCCTGCACCAACAGAAAGATGCCTTTTTGAGGTGGTGGAGCCAAGTAGTACCACGCTGTTTTGATTTTGAGGAGAGTATCATCTTACTGTACACTAGTGACCATATAATCCCCATGTCAATAAGATAATAGGAACCATAACATTGATAATAATAATAATAATAATACACAACGCGCTCAAGACATAGGT